GCACTCCAGCCTCGGCAACAGAGTGAGACTCCGTCTCCAAAAATAATAATAATAATAATAATAATAATAATAATAATAAAGGAATAACTGATGGCTACTCCATAGGCAGAACAGTCTGGAGGGCTGCTGGTTGCCATTTTTATGGTTATTTCTTGATTATATGCTAAACAAGGGGTGGATTATTCATGCCTCCCTAAAACTTTTAAGACTGTCTAGGGTAATCTGATGTTGCCATGGCATTTGTAAACTATCATGGCACTGGTGAGAGTGTTGAACCCGAGGCCACTCTTGTTGCCATCCTGGTTCTGGTGGGTTTTAGCCGACTTTTTTACTGCATGTTGTTTTATTAGCAAGGTCTTTAATGACCTATATCTTTTACCAACCCCCATCTCATCCTGAGACTTAGAATGGGTAACCATCTGGAATGCAGACTGGTACGTCTCAGCCTTGTTTTACCCAGCCCCTATTCAAGATGGAGTTGCTCTGGTTCAAACGTCTCTGACTTATTTCCCCCATTCCTTTTACAAGCGAACTCTGAATCCTAAGGGTTGCAGAGGGATGAAGATCCGTCTTCTGTAACTTCTTTATGCTGAACAGGGGTGATGATATTCCTTCCTAACTCTTGGGTCTCTTGCATTCAGGGTAGAGAGGAGCTCAGTGAGAAAGCATTGGTATGGTGAAGACCATTCTTTTTTTTTTTTTTTGGGGATGAAGTTTCGCTGTTGTTACCCAGACTGGAGTGCAATGGCACGATCTCGGCTCACCGCAACCTCTGCCTTCTGGGTTCAAGCAATTCTCCTGCCTCAGCCTTCCGAGTAGCTGGGACTACAGTTGCGCACCACCGTGCCCAGCTAATTTTTGTATTTTTAGTAGAGATGGAGTTTCACCTTGTTGACCAGGATGGTCTTGATTTCTTGACCTCGTGATCCACCCGCCTCGGCCTCCCAAAGTGCTGGGATTATAGGCGTGAGCCACCGCGCCCGGTCAGGCCATTCTTAACTCTTTTGAGTTCTGACAAAAGGTAATATCTGGAAGATTCATAAGTATTCAGTTTAAGAAAACATTTAGTAAGCTTATCCTGCATTGCTACACAAAGAATATAATTACGGCAATATATTACATAACAGTACACAAAGTAAAATTATCCCAAGTAGACTAAATTAGCAGGTTTTCCATGAACTAGGCAATTGTTGAAATTAAGCTAATAAGGACTCGCTAGCCAATGCCAATATGTGCCCAGAATTAGAATATTGATCCAGATTTTAACATTACTCATCTCTTGTTTCTTTTGAGCAGCAGCCAGAGAGCACTGGTTGGTTCGCAGGAATAAGTGGGATCGCTCTCTTGTGTTCCATAGGCCTGTGCAGCACAGGTCAGGAACTGTGTACACAAGGAATGAGGCCAGTTTTCCCAAAGGGCTTTGCTTGGCGCTGTGAGTTAAGTTTCATTCCTGACAGGAACGCACGCCATTCCAGTTAAAGCCTTGGCAAAATAACCAGTTTCTCCGCTTCTGTCCTAAAGTCAGCCAATCAGTGCTGCAGTCTGTTTCCTTTGCGTGGTGGGGGGGGTCTCCTCAGTATCATCCTTTCTGTGGTTTGCCAGAAATATGTTACCTGAAAGGGGTCCTGATCCAGACTCCAAGAGAGGGTACTTGGATCTTACAAAGGAAAGAATTCGAGGGGGCCAGGCGTGGTGGCTCACGCCTATAATCTCAGCACTTTGGGAGGCCAAGGCAGTGGATCACCTGAGGTCGGGAGTTTGAGACCAGCCTGGCCAGCATGGTGAAATCCTGTCTCTACTAAAAATACAAAAGTTACCCAGGCGTGGTGGCAGGTGCCTGTAATCCCAGCTGCTCAGGAAGCTGAGGCAGGAGAATCGCTTGAACCCAGGAGGCAGAGGTTGCAGTGAGCTGAGATAGTGCCATTGCACTCCAGCCTAGGCAACAGAACGAAACTGTCTCAAAAAAAAAGCAAGGAGAATTCTTAGAATAAAGTGAAAGCAAGTTTATTAAGAAAGTAAAGGAATAAAGAATGGCTATTCCATAGAGCAGCCAGTTAACTAGGATTTTAATTTAAGAGATATTAAAATTGTTAATAAATTTGTTTAATTTACCGAAGCAAATCACTGATTTGTGTGTATAAGCCATGAGAGAAATATGGGACTTAATTTTGCTACAGAAGAGAATTTAATTTCCTGCATAATCAGTTTCTCCCTATTCCACTGAATTAATTTCATCAACATACAAGGTGGATATTTTCTTTTTTTTCTTTTTTTTATTTTTTGAGACAGAGCTTCGCTCTTGTTGCCCAGGCTGGAGTGCAATGGCGTGATCTTGGCTCACCGCAACCTCAGCCTCCTGGGTTCAGGCAATTCTCCTGCCTCAGCCTCCTGAGTAGCTGGGACTACAGGCACGCGCCACCACGCCCAGCTAATTTTTTGTATTTTTAGTAGAGACGGAGTTTCACCATGTTGACCAGGATGGTCTCGATCTCTTGACTTCGTGATCCACCCGCCTTGGCCTCCCAAAGTGCTGGGACTACAGGGGTGAGCCACCGTGCCCGGCCAGATATTTTCTACTGTCTTAAACAGTCTCCCTCCTTTGGCCCTTGTGCCCCTTCGGGTATTTCCCCCTACCTTTTCCCCTTTCCAGTAAAACTCTCTAGGACAAGGGTAGGCTGTGCTCACTGTCCTCTGAGTCTTTGGGATTCACCCACACTGGGCTTTGCCCTGTTGCCCCACCCAGACTGCTGGTGGGAAAGGTTATGTTCATGTTGCTGGATTCAGTGGCCTCAGCCGTTACCTCACCTGACCTGGTTTTAGCATTGGACATGGTTGTAGACTTTCTTCACTGACTTCCAGGACACTACACTCTCCAAGTTTCTTTCTTTTCTCTCTTCCTCTCTTCCCCCCTTCTCCCTCCCTCCCTCCCTCCCTCCCTCCCTTCCTTCCTCTTTCTTGCTCTCTCTCTTTCTCTTTCTTCCTTTTCTTGAGATACAGTTTCCCTCTGTCGCTCAACTAGAGTGCAACGGTGTGATCTCAGCTCATTGAAACCTTCACCTCCCGGGCTCAGGTGATTTTCGTGCCTCATACTCCCAAGTAGCTGGAATTACAGGTGCCTGAAACCATGCCTGGTTGTATTTTTAATAGAGACAGAGTTTCACCATGTTGACCAGGCTGGTCTCAAACTCCTGACTGTAGGTGATCCCCCTGGCTTAGCCTCCCGAAGTGCTGGGATTATAGGCATGAGCCACTTCACCTGGGCCACACTCTCCAAGTTTCTAACACCCTCCTGCCACTTCTTCCCAGGCAGGGGATTGGTTCTAACTCTGTGGGATCACAAATTCCTTTTAGAGTCTGGTCCTCACTGTGACCCCACATCCTAGCAAAAACTGTATATATGTTTATGTTAACACAGTTTATTACAAATAGTTTTCATCCTTTTAAATTATGATGACTTTGTGTGTGTGTGTGTGTGTGTGTGTGTGTGTGTGTGTGTGTGTGTGATGGACTTTCACTCTTGTTGCCCAGGCTGGTATAAAATGGTGCAGTCTCGGCTCACTGCAACCTCCACCTCCCGGGTTCAAGTGATTCTCCTGCCTCAGTCTCCTCAGTAGCTGGGATTATAGGCATGTACCACATCTGGCTAATTTTGTATTTTTAGTAGAGACAAGGTTTCTCCATGTTAGTCATGCTGGTCTTGAACTCCTGACCTCAGGTGATCCGTCTGCCTTGGCCTCCCAAAGTGCTGGGATTATAGGCGTGAGCTACTGTGCCTGGCCAAAATTATGGTGACTTCTAAGAAGGTCCGATTTTTTTTAAGAGTTAATGGTTGTCACCTGGGCAACATAGCAAGATGTTGTCTCTTTAAAAAAATACAGAAAATGTTAGCTGAACATGGTTGTTTATGCTTATAGTCTTAGCTACTTGGGATGCTGAAGAGGGAGCATTGCCTGAGCCTCAGAAGTTGGAGGCTGCAGTTAGTTATGATTGTGTCACTGCACTCGCCTAGATGACAGAGCGAGACCCCTTTTCTTTAAAGTAGGCTGGGCATGGTGGCTCAGGCTTGAAATCACCGCACTTTGGGAGGCCAAAGCGGGAGGATCACTTACGGTCAGAAGTTCAAGATAATCCTGGCCAACATAGTGAAACCCTGTCTATACTAAAGATACAAAAATTAGCCTGGGTGTAGTGGCACATGCCTATAGTCTCAGCTAATTGGGAGGCTGAGGTGGGAGAAATACTTGAACTCAGGAGACAGAGGTTGCAGTAAGTCAAGATTAAGCCACTGCACTCCAGTCTGGATAACAGAGGGAGATTTTGTCTCAAAAAAAAAAAAAAATTAATGATGGTAAGCTGAAATAGTGTTTGTAATACAATGTTGAGCAATGTATAGAGTTCACTGTTTCTTCTTTTTTTTTAAGTGAGAAGGTCTTGCTCTGTTACCAAAATAAAAATGAATAAATAAAAAATTTTGTATCTGATTCACCTACAATTTTTGTTTTTGATGAAGTTTTGCTCTGTTGCCCAGGATGGAGTGCGGTAGCACAATCTCGGCTCACTGCAGCCTCCACCTTCCAGATTCAAGTGATAAGCGATTCTCTCGATAGCGTCCCTAGTAGCTGGGACTACAGGCGTGCATGCATCACCATGCTGGGCTAATTTTGTATTTTAATAGAAAAATTTTGTATTTTTGATAGAAAAATAAAAATTCATGGAGGTGGCTGTGTCTGGCCACCCCCATGGATTTAATACTTCTGTTTTTTCTAATGTGAATTGTCAGTTTCATATTACTTGTTTGTTTATAGGGATTTAACATGCCTGCATAAGCTCATAACCCTTTATGGTAAATCATACTGATTAAATATTAGTATATTAGATTCTCTTTTATGCTAATTTTGATTTTTTAGCATATAGAAATTTTTGAAGACCTTCAGAACACTGCATTTATGGCCTTTCTTGGTGGGTAATATTTTCTGTGTGCCATTGCTCTTCTTTTCCAGGCACCCAACAGGAGGATCATTTATTCGTCCGAAAAAGGTAAATTTTGGAATAGACTTTCTTACTGCAGTTAAGAACCGCTATGTGTTAGAAGATGAACTGGAGGAAGATGGAAAAGAACAAATTGTTACAATTGGAAATAAACCTGTGGAGACTATTGGTTTTGACTCTGTTATGAAACAGCAAAGGTAAGTGGAATTTATAATAGCAGAGCTGACTTTTATGGTTTTATTAAGGTTCAGAATTGGAATTCCATGACTGTGTGTGGATGCTAAGGACTTTGCTTCTTTTTTTTTTTTTTGAGACAGAGTGCCACTGTTGTTACCCAGACTGGAGTGCAGTGGTACGATCTCGAATCACCGCAACCTCTGCCTTCTGGGTTCAAGCAATTCTCCTGCCTCAGCCTCCCGAGTAGCTGGGACTACAGGCATGCACCACCATGCCCAGCTAATTTTTGTATTTTTAGTAGACACAGAGTTTCACCTTGTTGACCAGGATGGTCTCGATCTCTTGACCTCGTGATCCACCTGCCTTGGCCTCCCGAAGTGCTGAGATTATAGGTGTGAGCCACCGCGCCCGGCCTAGGACTTTGCTTCTAAACTGGTTTATGCTTCCCACAGAAACGGAATCAAAATCTGAGGAATCCAAGGATTATTTAGGGAAATAAAAATTTTTATTTTAGCACAAGATTGGTAGATTTTTCCAGATTGCAATTGAAACATTTATTGGTCCATTATTAATATTCACATCATATTATCTTGTGTTGACTAATTAAGTAACTAAGACTGACATTGTGTTCTTTTCTATTTCATGGTGATGGTAAGTTGGCAATGGAAACGGCAGTCTGAATTGTTCCCTATGCTGTGGAGCGTGCTGGTGGCATCTATTTTTTTTTTTGTCAAGGCAGAGTTTTGCTGCTGTTGCCCAGGCTGGAGTGCAATAGCACGATCTTGGCTCACCATAACCTCTGCCTCCTGGGTTCAAGAGATTCTCCTGCCTCAGCCACCCCAGTAGCTGGGATTATAGGCATGCAGCACCACACCCAGTTAAATTTGTATTTTTAGTAGAGACGGGGTTCCTCCATGTTGGTCCGTCTGGTGTCGAACCCCCAACTCAGGTAATCCACCCACCTTGACCTCCAAAAGTGCTGGGATTACAGGCGTGAGCCACCACGCCCAGCGGTGCCATCGGTTAATAGCAGGGAGTAGTTTCTGCCTCTGGCTGCACAGCTTCGTCACCCGGGGAGCTGTGAAACATGCAGCATCCTTTGTCCCATTCCAGATCTGCTGATTCAGAATTTTGGGCTATGGGCTCTAAATAATGCATTTTATTTTTTAAAAATTTTCTTTCTTTCTGTTTTTTTTTTTTGAGATGGAGTCTCGCTCTGTAGCCCAGGCAGGACTGCAGTGGTGTGATCTACACTCACTGCAGCCTCTGCCTCCCAGGTCCCAGTTCAAGCAGTTCTCCAGCCCCAGCCTCCCAAATAGCTGGGATTACAGGCACGAGCCACCATGCCCAGCTAATTTTTGTGTTTTTTTTTTTTTTGAGACGGAGTTTCGCTCTTGTTACCCAGGCTAGAGTGCAATGGCGTGATCTCAGCTCACTACAACCTCCACCTCCTGTGTTCGGGCAATTCTCCTGCCTCAGCCTCCTGAGTAGCTGGGATTACAGGCACGCGCCACCATACCCAGCTAATTTTTTTGTATTTTTAGTAGAGTTGGGGTTTCACCATGTTGACCAGTCTGGTCTTGAACTCCTGACCTTTTGATCCGCCGGTCTCGGCCTCCCAAAGTGCTGGGATTACAGGCATGAGCCACTGAGCCTGCCCTATTTTTATTTTTATACAGACAGGATCTTGCTCTCTTGCCCAGGCTGGTCTTGAACTTTTGGGCTCAGGTGATCCTCCCGCCTTGGCTTCCCAAAGCACTGGGATTACAGGTGTGAGTCACTGCACCCGGCCTTAAAATAATGCATTTTAAAACTGCTGCACGAGCAGACAATTCTCTTGCCTCTGAAACTATATATTGTGACATTGTACAAGGAGGCTTACTAGTCATTCTATGAACTGCTTGAATCAGAGAGGAAGTTAATATTTACACAAAACCAGTCTGGCTGCACAAGAACTGGCCAGGCCTTGCAGTTTACTGTGGTGACTTGGATGAAGTAGCTGGGTGAGGACCCCTGGTGGCCACTGTGAGAATAAATTTATGGCCTCTTGTAGGCCTGCAGTATATTTTCTTTCAGTCTCTAAAAGAATTGGCCGGCTTAGTGGCTCACGCCTGTAATCCAAGCACGTTGGAGGCCAAGGCAGGCGGATCACCTGAGGTCGGGAGTTCAAGACCAGCCTAACCAACATGGTGAAACCACATCTTAAAATTAAACTATAGTTTTTTCCAAAGTAAATTTCTTTGCTATCTTTTGTTATTGTTGTTATGAATAAAAGTGCATATGAGGACAATGTTGAAAGTAAAATAAATACATTTCTTGGCAGCTCTACTCTTTTTTTTTTTTTTTTTTTTTCTTTTGAGACGGAGTTTCGCTCTTGTTACCCAGGCTGGAGTGCAATGGCACGATCTCGGCTCACCACAACCTCCGCCTCCTGGGTTCAGGCAATTCTCCTGCCTCAGCCTCCTGAGTAGCTGGGATTACAGGCACACGCCACCATGCCCAGCTAATTTTTTGTATTTTTAGTAGAGACAGGGTTTCACCATGTTGACCAGGATGGGCTCGATCTCTTGACCTCATGATCCACCCACCTCGGCCTCCCAAAGTGCTGGGATTACAGGCTTGAGCCACCGCGCCAGGCTGGCACCTCTACTCTTTAGCATACATGGCACCCGTTTAAAAAAATCTCGACTGGGCGCAGTGGCTCACGCCTGTAATCCCAGCACTTTGGGAGGCTGAGGTGGGTGGATCATGAGGTCAGCAGTTTGAGATCAGCCTGGCTGACATGGTGACATCTCATCTACTAAAAGTATTAAAAATTAGCCAGGCATGGTGGTGCGCGCCTGTAATCCCGGCTACTCAGGAGGCTGAGTCAGGAGAATTGCTTGAACCCAGGAGGCAGAGGTTTCAGTGAGCCGAGATTGTACCATTGCACTCTAGCCTGGGTGACAGAACAGGACTCTTGTCTCAAAAAAAAAAAAATAATAATAAGTCTCAGAATAAATAAAGAGTTTTAAAGGAACAAATGGACTTCCTTTAATTATAAAAGAAAATACATTTATTGTTGATAACATAGAAATTACAAATTGAACAAAAAAGTATCATGACTGATGCCACCACGTAGATATAAGTATTGTGAATGGTGGGTGCAGTGGCTCATGCCTGTCATCTTAGCACTTTTGGAGGCCAAGGTGGGAGGATCATTTAGCCAGGAATTTGAGACTAGTTTGGCCAACATGGTGGAATCCTGTCTCTACTAAAAACACAAAAAATTAGCTGGGTGTGGTGGTATACGCCTGTAGTCCCAGCTGCTTGGGAGACTGAGGCAGGAGAGTCCTTTGAACCTGGGAGGTGGATGTTGCAGTGAACCAAGATCTTGCCGCTCCACTCCAGCCTGGGTGATAGAATGAGACGCTGTCTCAAAATGAAAACAAAAACAAAAAAAACCTATCATGAGCAGTTTTTACTGTTTATTCTGCTGATTTACTCGGATTTAAAGAACTATATGCTTCATAGGGTTAGAGTTCTTCCCTTTATTTTTAATTTTTTACTGTTATTAGTGCAAGAAGATATTTTTTTTCCCATTTAAAATACAAATAGCCTGGGCAACATGGCAACCCTGTCTCTACAAATAAATACATACATATATACATACAAAAATTAGCTAGGTGTAGTAGTGCATGCCTGTAGTCCCAGCTATTTGGGAGGCTGAGGTGGGAAGATCACCTGAACCTTGGAAGTCAAGGGTGTACAGTGAGCCATGATTGCACCACTGCACTCCAGCCCAGGTGACATAGTGAGACCTTGTCTCAACAGATGAGCAAACAAAAAAACACCAAATATTTAAATATCTCTTACCCAAAAGAAGAATTTTTTTTTAATTGGCTAATCTCTTTTTAGAGAATATTATGAGTTCTAAGAATATATATTTTTAGACAGAGTCTCACTATGTCACCAGGTGCCAGGCTGGAGTGCACTGGCGTGATCTTGGCTCACTGCAACCTCCGCCTCCCGGGTTCAAGCAGTTCTCCAGCCTCAGCCTCCCGAGTAGCTGGGACTACAGGCGCACGCCACCACACCCAACCAGTTTTTGTATTTTAGTAGAGACGTGGTTTCACCACATTGACCAGGATGGTCTCAATCTCTTTTTTTTTGGGTGGGGGGGGAGGAAGGCAGGAAGGAAGGGAATAAGGACAGTAGGGAGGAAGGAAGGGAGGAAGCGGTGAGGAAGGGAGGGAGGGAGGGAGGGAAGGGAAGAAAGGAAATCAAGCAATGAAAGAGACATTGCCGACCTAGATCTAGAGGTTTACAAGTTGATTTCTTTTTTTTTTGAGAGAAGGAAAGAAAAAAAAAATAAGTAAAGGAGAGGAAGAAAGAGGAAGAGAAAGAAGGAGAGTAAATGGAAATATTGCTTTATTTTGAAAAAAATTGGGTATTAATAATGGCCAGTCAATGTTTCATTTAAACTAATGGGTGGGTGTGATGTGGTATTGACAAGAATGTATATTTTGTGTATTTGAAGTGGAGAGCTCTATAAATATTTATTAAGTTTACTTGTTCTGGATCTGAGTTCGAGTCCTTGATATCCTTATTAATTTTCTGTCTCATTGAGTCTAAGTCTCTATGTATCTGGGTGTTAGGATCGTTAGCTCTTGTTGTTGCATTGATCCTTTTACCACTATATCTTTGTTGCTTTAAAATCTATTTTATCCGATACAAGAATTGCAACTCCTGCTTTTTATTTATTTATTATTTATTTTTGCTCTCCATTTGGTTGGTAAATCTTTCTCCATCCCTTTGTTTTGAGTCTTTGTGTATCCTTGCATGTGAAACAGGTCTGGATGTAACATGCCGTTGGGTTTTGGCTGTGTCTTTTGATTGGGAATTCAGTCAATTTAAATTTAGGGTTACTGCCATTTGATGTTGACTGGCTGTTTTATCCATTTGTTGGTGTAAATTCTTCTTTATGTTGGTGCTCTTTACTTTTTGGTGTATTTTTAGAAAGGCTAATACTGGTTGTTTC